TTATTATTATTATTATTATTATTATTATTATTATTATTATTATTATTATTATTATTATTATTATTATTATTATTATTATTATTATTATTATTATTATTATTATTATTATTATTATTATTTTTGTTATATTTGCCACAACTCATACAGATAATCAATTATTTTTTTTCACGGAAATACAGGATCTTAAATATTTCGAATTCATTAATTTGGATTTAAAGTAGATAAAGTAGGTTTTGAAAGTATCATTAATTTGGATTTAAAGTAGATAAAGTAGGTTTTGAAAGTAGACTTAAAGTAGATTTTAGGTTTTAACGGAACATTGTAGACTTATTAAATTTATTCGAATATATGGTTTTGAAATAAAAATTAAAATGACCTAAATTGTTTTTTCAAAAGTGGAAGACCAAAGAGATCTGAATGTATTCAGTTCATAATCATTTTTGACTACAGCTCATTAACTGAAATTCGAAAGTATTCATTATTTTCACTATTTCTGAAGTTAGTCCAAAAATTTCATGGAAAGGTATTGCGAAGCAAAGAAAGGATGAATTAACTAACAGATTATAAATCAGAGGTAAATTCAGAGAGGTACTTTATTGTTTAACTGTTCCAATCAGGGCATTTTATTTTTTTCATTCGATCATCTTTTCGAAATCAAAATGAGCACATTGTGTAAGGGTCATAGTAGAGCATAGAAAATTGTGGACAAATTAAACAATAAATGTATATTTGAATTATTTACACACTACGGTATGTAGTAGTGATCACCATCTTGTCATTGAAGATACCATTTTCTGATTGGATTATATCGGATGAAAAGAACATTAGTGCAGATAGTGAGATTACTGATGAACTGACGACACTTCAAAAGTACTTCAAGATAGTACTGAAGAGCATTCGTATTGGAAGTTAGTTCTATTCAACTTGTTCAATGAAATTCATTCAAAACTACTATATAGGTTTTCCAGTTTTACCAGCTCCGTTTTACTTCCATCTGTCTTGTACCATCTCTCCATTAAATCTTGTTTTCAATATATGCATTATCCGTAGATGAGGTAAGTACCACTTGATGACAATCACGAAGTTTCCTTTTTTTTCTTGATTGAGTTAAGAGGAGAAGTGATGTGAAGAAATGAGAAGAGGATATCATGCTACCGGTTGTTGCTTTCTATTGTAAATTGATCCGTATCATCATCATATTTATACTTTATCCACTCCCATTATCCTTCTTTCCGTCTTCTTCTTCTCCAACTGTGACCAATTACACACTTATATTAGCTAAATAATGCCATCTTGAAAGGTCATCTAAGTAATCCATCCATTTTGTGCATATAATAATAAAAATGGCTTATATCTTTGGTTCGAAAAAAAGAAAAAAGCAGTAAAAAAAGTAGCTTTATTCGAAATGATAACAATGATACTAACAATTGTCATAGAAGTTTGATTAAACTTTAACCAGTAAAGTAGCTTCTGAAATAGCATCAATTTTGGGTTAAAAGCTAAATACTTCCAGTTAGCATGGGACCTTTTTATCATTTAATTCTAGTATGCTTGAATTTTCCATAAATTTTTATGAAAATTCCCTTTCGAAAAGGAAAAAACACATACATAAATATATTTCGTCAAATATCGATGGAAACGGTTACATAAAAGGGAATTGGTCAAAACGATTGTCAAAAAATGGGAGCAATAACATAACAGTTTCAACATCATCTTCGAATGATGTATATTTCACAAGCAATGAGATGTTTTTGGCAAATAAAAATTAACAAGTTGTAAAATGAAGAGAAATTTTAAATTTTCATAAAAAATCAATTTGATCAATAAATCATCATAAATTTCTCGAAATTCTTGAAAATGGTACATTTTGGATAAATTATTGTGCCATGTAATTTAGGTGTTCATTAGCTTGAAATTTTTGTTTCAGCCCAAAAAAAAAAGTTGATTTATTATTGTTGTCATTGATTTGAATTCAAATTTCTATTAATACTCAGTGTTTATTTGCCCAATTCATTTGAATTTTTTTTCCCGTGTTTGCAATTTCAACTTAAATTATTCCCGACTTTATCTACCACAAATGATTAGTGGACGAACCAATAAGGAAAACAATTTATGAGATCGGGAAAGCGGAAGATTTCGTTGCTAGGGGAAGAAGCAAGTAGCATCAACTAAAGCTGCTTATCCGCTGCGCGATACGCATGCATGCATGCAATTAAATTTTGCAATCCAATTGCATTCTCTTCTTTCTTCTCCATTCTTACTATCACTGTTCTTTACTTATTACTTTTTGAAATTTGCTATTTAATTCGTACGAATTTCATTATTTTTTAATCTCCAGACAATTTAGGAATACGCTTTAATTCAAGGTATATGAGCTCTTGTTGATCTCAAACATACCTTTTCTCTTACGGAACAAAAAAAATGGTGGACATTTTAAGTTTTTTGATTTTAATTTTAGGTCATTTACTAAGTATTAATTTGTTGGAATGTCAGAAACTGATAAATACTTAAACTTTGTTTTTTTTTTAGACATCAACATTATGGTCTGTGATGTCGATACCTGAAAATACTTGTATTTCAATTCCGGTTCGTCTCGAAAATTTGTGGGAAATTTTCAGAAAAGATCCATTTTCTGATCAATCGATTGATTTCGCTCGACTAGTTGCAGCATATTACCTTGGCTTTCCATTACTTACACCAAGAAATCCAGGCTCACTTCCTTCGCTTTATGAATGGCCAAAATTATCGTCAGGTAATCGAACTTTGGCTTTTTTAAATAATTACTTTGAATGAAATTAAGATTTTCTGTAAATCTGTAATTAACAATTCCTATCAAAAAAAATGGCAAATACTTCATGCAAACTGTAGGCAGCATATAAATACGATTTGACGAAATTTTAATAATTGTGTCAAGTTGAAATTTTAGTGGATTTTACAGAAATAAATTTGGAAGAAGCTATCTTGCTAAAGCGAATTGACATTGCAAAAACAATATCGACTATATGTGACGAACGCACACCACCGATGCTTTTATGGACTTGTGGTCATCGCATTGAGGCTATCTATTATTGCGATCAATTTCGTGACCTTAAATCACAAGCAATGCTACGCTTCTTGGAGGAACAATTATCAGGGTTCATCATTGCAATACATTTTACAAAAATAATCTTCATTTTGATAGTTCTCTTTTCCATAGTATCCTGATATCCTCAGGACTTAAATATTCAAATTCATATTTGAACACAGTGAAACTTATGGATGCATGATAAATATCACTTAAAGTCAAATCAATATTGTATCTGTAAAATTATTTTAAAATTAACCAATGAAGAAACTTATACCAATATTATGCAAGCAGATCTAGGCAAGGATCAATCTCTATTTAACTCTTTACTCATTTACATAATGCTACTAATTGCGTAATAGCCATTTATGCATAATTAATAGCACAACAAACAATATGATGTAATATTCTAATAAGAGTCATATTATTTTACTAAATCAACTAAGAAGTAGCGAACTCTGAACTATCAGGATTGAAATTTAGCAAATTGCATTAATTACTTGAAATTCTGGTTATCATTGGTTGATTTTTTAGCGGGAAGAGAACATTGTTACGCCATTTCAGGCTTAAGCTTTTGCAAATGTTTTGTGAAGGACGTATTGAAATGGCTTTCAATGAACTTGATAGCTTAGGCGAGATAAAAGAATACGGAAGCATCCAAAATATGCTATTTTCATGGGGTAAATTAGCCGATTCATTGCTTCAAATGGATGCTATCGCGGAGACACGGGGAGTAAATTTACTACTCGATCGAATATTGGTCAAAATGTGTAATATACATGAGATGATGCCTTTATTTGTGAATGCTGACATATCGGTAGGTCATTTTGCAAAAAAAAAAAATTCCCAATTACTTGATCTCAAAGTAGAATTTAGAATTAATTCTAGAAACAATTTTATTAGTAGATCCATTAATTTGTATTGTTAGCATTCCATTTGCTAGCATTCGCTAATATACGAATGAACGATTTTGTTTACTGTTAATTAAATGTGAATTTTTTTTTGTAGCTACCGCGGCCACCTGTTTATATGTGCACAACTTTTGTTGGTTTCGATGAGGAGCAATATTGCTATGTTCGTTTATGGATTCTTATCCAAGCTTATATACGACTATTATCCGATGCTAATGTGTTACACATTTGTATCGAACATTTTTGTTGGAATTTCTTGCAAATAAACGGCGATTGTGAAGTAAGAGATTAGTTTTATCATTGCGGGAAAATTGATAACTTCAATTTTAGTCCTAATTTGATTTTTCTGCTGAAGTAATAGTGATAGAATTATTGATTAATCTTCCGCTTTTAAAGCTTTCTCTAGGATATATGGTTGATTAAAATTTTGTTAAAATTTAGGTGTTTTATAATCTTATATGCCTTATTGATCTCCGGGCTATATACTTTAATGTATGTTTGTTTTAAGTAGAAAGATGTCATTGTTTGTAAATTGAAATCATTTGAAATTAAACGAATGCTGTTAGTACTGCATTATACTGAAAACATTTGTGGTGTAGCATTTTGACAGGAAATTTCCGAGGAGGAATCACTATCAATCAAAATCAATTTCTTTTTGGATTCATGGCTTCTTCAAATTTATTCTCATTATATTGCGCCTTATAGCACGTGATTCTGCCTCAATGGAACATCGACATGATATCATTTCTAACGTAATAAATTTAAAATTTCTCGAAATTTAACAGGAATATTTCTTCGACTAAACATTATCATGAAATTAATTCAACTTAATTTATCGTTTTATCGTGTTTATTAGTCATGAAATTGTTTTATAACCCATTTTTCATCAAATTTTGTTTCTTTCAGAATCAAATGAAAAAAGCAATTATAAAGTATTACAAATTGTTGAATGAAGAAGAAAAAGAAGACAAAGATGATGATGATTTATTAATGAGGTATGATCGATTGAATAAATGGACATCATTTCCAGAAATACCAATTTCAAATTTTATTCCTAAAATTTTTCATTCTTTTTCTTTTAAAACGATCTTTGCACTACCATGATTTTCTTGTTGAAATACTTTTTCATCATAACGAACAGTTACAGTTACATCACTTTGCACAATACAACGAATGTTTTAGTGCAATTCAGAATTTAGTTTTTTTGAACTTTGGGAGAATTTTTCAGTGTTTCTCAAACAAAAAAAGCGAAGGTGCGAAAAATGAATAAATGAAAAAGTAAAGAGAAAAGATCGAAAACAAAAAAAAAAAAAGAAAAAGCATTATATGACGTAATCAGGGAGGGAAGAAGGGAGGAGAATACTGTCATCAATTATTATCTCATCATAATATTGTTTTATATTGTCCTCTTATTTCCAAGTATCAATTCAGTATCCAAATGAAAATTTTGGAATTTCATAGTTTATTGGTAAAGTTTTAATCAAAATGGCTTATAAGCAGCTAATTATCATTGTTTTGCTTTTATATCATTATATCTTCTATTAACTTGTCACACTTCAGTTGGATGAGGGAAGCTGATCAAAGTGATTTCGAACAGTTGAACCACTTGTTCGATTATTTATCGACATTTCGTTCACCATTTGCGCATATGAGTGAATTTTGTCCCGAAAATATTATTTGTTGGCGGAATCATTTGCTTAAAGAAGTGGTTCGTTCATTCTGTTTATTAATTGTTAATGGCGAATTCTGTTATTGTGTTTTTGTGTAGCTTAACGTGTTGGTAAATAAAATTTGAAATTTATTTTTAGACAAAACCATACATTTTCTCAAATATCTGCTACTATTTATTAATTATTACAGATACTTCAAGAAGGTGTAAGCCGAACTGAAATGCATCAAGATCTGCAAATAAATGCAATTAGAGAAAAGGTTATTGGAACTATCTTTTCGATTTCATTTTTAATTCCGAACTTTATAAATGCTACTGTTTCGTCGCGACAATTTATATTTTGTGTTGTCTTATTCAAATGCTCATCAGACTTTTTCTCTGATAATAACAACAAGTGCGACATTTATGCATATCTTAATTTCAGATATCAAATGTTATTGACTTAATTGCAGGTACCAGATGGTGTATTGATAAGGGCTGAATATATAGCACGTTGTTGGTCGTATCCGACGTATGTGGCTGACGAAGGGTTGTTAGCAATGAATCTGAAGCTATGTCCCACCGAATTTGTTCAGGGTACTATCCCAAGCATTGCTATTTCATCATTGAAACGATTGCCAAGAATCGAATTTGCACCAAGGGTATGCCATCATTCGTCGCTTGATATTCGACCTTACACTCAACTTCCTGCTACAATCACGTCACGTTCTTTTCCAACAGTTACACGTCATTTAAAATCCAAGGAAACATCAGGCAATGACAGAAAGGATTCTTGGAGGAAACTTGATAGTGCAATGGAGAAAGTGAACGTTATGATCGATGAAGTTGAGCAAGAGCTCCGAAGTACCTCATCATATGTTAAGGCTTTACTGAATAGTAAGCCAAGGGTATCCGCTGAAAATACAACAAACAAACGTAAAAGTGACCAGATGTCATCCCCCAACATCAGCAGTCTGTCAAGCCAGAAGTCCGAAACATCGTTCGTTATTGAACAGTGCAAATTCATCAATGATGATCGTTACTCACTTGATTCAAATCGTGAACCAGAATGCCATTCAGAAATAGAAAAGCTAAATTTCGATTTGCTGTCACCTCAGCCTACTGTTCGTAATATTGCTGTGGTCAGTACCATGCCAGTATCACTCCCAAACACTTCATTACCATCTCCAGTTATGTCGGATTCGCTATATTCGGTCACCACCCCATCACCTTTACCAGTATGGTTAAAACTGCTACCGGTTAAACAAAAAATTTTCTTCTGTCGCTTACCCCAATGATCAACCAAATGAAAGGTAACATATTCCCATATACAGGATCGTTATAATGACTTGATATTAGGTACATAAATGACAAAAAAAATCATTAATTTTTAGGGTTGGCTTTAGGTACTTCTTGCTCGCACTTAGTGCTAAGTGAACTTGATTGTATGCAAATTGAGGTATCTTGTCTAATGTGATTCATCAAAATTCATTTAATTGATTACAAAAATCATATGAACCAAATGGTTAATGAAATAGAATAGAATTCTATTACAGAAATGGCGAGAGATGGCAGTATCCCGAAAATCCAATCATCACAAATGAAGTTATTGGAGATGAT